GAGTTTTCTGCACTTTTCACTTTGCACTACTTTGGGGTCGTTTAGTTCCCATCAGTGTAAGCTGCTATAACGATTAAAGCAAAACCGCTATTGTTTTATTTCTCTCTCACTTTTTCTTTAAATGTAAAACATTTCTCTAAATAACATTTTAGAAAGAAAATAATTATTTTTCTTTATTTTCTGCATTAAAAAAAAAAAAAAAAAAATTCTTAAATTAAAATTGTATTAAAATGCTAAACAATTTTTGTGCGAGACTGTAATTGTTTGTTACGGAAAATTTAAAATTATAGACATTAAAAAAGACGGGATAAAAATAAATAAAATAGGAAACTAAAAAAAAATTAAAAATGTTTAGATTTTACTTTACATTACGGAATTACGGATATACTTGTAAAAGCAGCTTAAAACTTTGGTCAAACCTAATTGCCACCTGTGAATCGACCTTTAATTTTATGTGATTCCCCCCTTTCTCTCTCTCTCTTTTTAACTCCAAACGGAATTTATTTGCGATGTTTGAGTAATTTAACAATAAAAATAAATTTTCACTCTCAAAATTATAATGTTTGAGTAATTGTATAATAGAAAATAATTTCTCGATTTAGCGTTTGTGTAACGTAAATAACAGGGTTCGGAGCTCCTTTGAGTGGAAGCTCAATCACCAAGTATTATAAGGTACTTAGTTCAGTTAGACTTAATTAATTGGCTGCAGCCATTTGCTACTTCAGCTTTTGGACACAGTGCGGGAAACATTTCTATAATTAAATTCATTGTAAGTCAATATTAACCTAGAAACTCAATTCGTCAATTTCAATAAAAAAGAAATATTTCCGTCGAATTTTGACGCTCTGTCAATAACATAAACTTTAAAAAAATTTTCTATAGATTCGTGTTTTTTGAGGATTCCATTATTTAAGAATAAATGGTTTTATTAAACTTATTCTGAACTAATTGAAACTTGTTTTATTAAATTAAAACTCATTTGAACAATATTGAAGTAGTATAGAACTGCTTGAAACTTGTTTCTAATTTAGAACCATTGAAACAAGTTTTTAACCATTTCAAACTTGTTGTAAACCAATTGAAACTTTTTTTTTGCATTCAAACTCATTTAAACCAAATTGAACTAGTTTAATACTACTTGAAACTTGTTTCAAATTAATTTAACTCACTTTGAACCAATTCAAAACTTGTTTTATTCTATTCAATCTAATTTTAATCTGAACCATTAAAAACCATTTCAAACTTGTTGTAAACCAATTGAAACTTTTTTTATTCAATTCAAAGTAATGTAACAAAATGTTAGCCATTTAAACCAACTTAAAATTAAAAACCACTTAATCAAGTTTGGAACCATTTCTAACTAGTTGAGAACTATTTAAATAAGATTGGAACCACTGCAAAAGAATTCAAACCATCTGAACCATTAATAGTCATTAAAACAAGTTTAGAACCATTTCAAACTAGTTCAGAACTATTTAAACAAGCTTAGAACCAATTCAAACTAGTTCAGAACCAATTCAAACTAGTTTAGAACCGTTTCAAACTATTCAAACCAATACAAGCCGGTTTTAAACCATTTCAAACCAATATTAATCAGTTTCAGACTAGTTTTAATCAGTGAAAACATAGATTAGAAAATGAAAACTTCAAATAATTTCAAATAAAATTTAATTAAATTGTCAGAAAAATTAATTCACAAGAATTATTAGCATGATTTTTTTCCCAGTTAGAAAAACCTGTCTGTTAAATGAAAATAAATATAAAAATTTGAAATATGGAATAAAAATTTATTTCAATTTATGGGAAACTAAAAAGACCAAAACAAAATATTGTATGTAAAAGTAAAAAATTGGTTATAAAAATAAATAATTTTTTCCTGTCTAGGTCCTTTTAGAAACGCTTTTCATTTCAACCGTATTATAAAATTTTATCTTCAAACAAATTTTAAACCTCTATAAAAACAGTACTTTTTAACTAATAGTTTTTTTTTTGGTTTATAAACTGCATTATAAAATATTTTTTAACGCTTTTTGATAGGTTACAAAGTTTGAGAATAAATATTCAATTTTAAGAGAGATAAAAATATTTTTAGAATTCTATTGTTCGAAAGTGGAAGACAAAAAGAAAATTTTTTTTCAATGAAACCACTCGATTATTTAGAAAACAAAGTTAAATTCAGTATTTAATCTTGACAGATTATTTAATAGTCGAGTATAACAATGTGGTGATGTTATTTTAGATTCAAAAAGAGGTCAATATCTAAAATTGTTTGCAGAGAATATATCGTATATGTAACAATATTGAGATGAGATAATAAAAGACCTTTTAATTTTGTGGAGTCATTTTTAATTTTCCACATTTTTTCTTTTGTTGTCTTTTTATTCCGTTTTGAAAAAATACAAAAGTTGAAAAGATTTTTAATTCTCTTTTCTGATAATCAAGTTTAAAATATTAAAAATATCAGGAAGAAATTTTGTTTTCAGCTAGTTTAGTTAATATTCATGTATGTAAAGGGGAAAAAATTGGATTAAAAGTCTTTTCGTTTAAGGTAATTTCCGATTTTTATATGAATTGTTTGCTTTTTTTAGCAAAAAAAAACCATAAATGCCACAACACGGTCTTTTTGTTTAGTAAAATGAAAATATTTTCCATGAGGAACAAAGGCTTTTATGTTTGACTGAATTCATTGTCAATAACTATTATCCCGTGGAAAAAGTGAAAATAAACGAGGGACTGTACAATTTTGTCTTCTTAAGAATATATTATAATCTTTTGAAAAAGAAGAAAAAATATTTTTCAACCAAGGACACTAATTTTCAATTATTTATTTAAAAAATTTTCACTGGTTTATTTTAATCAACTTTTTTTATTTTATTCCATATTTTAACTTAAACACCCACAATTAATTTAAATACCTACAATTTTAATATGCAAAGAATTCAATTATTTAAAAAAAATTTTGATAAAATTCTAAACAAACATTAAATTATTTTCATAAATAATAAAAATTTCACAGAAATGCAATTATTTACAAATTTTTTTATAAATTTCTTTGCAATAATTCAATTATTTTCATAAATGAAATTTTTTTTTAAAGATTCAGTTATTTTTATAACTAATAAAATTATTCTTAGGAGTTCAATTATTTTCATAAATATAATCAAATTCTTTTTAGAAATTCAATTATTTTTATAAATAATAAAACTCATCGCAGAATTTTCAATTTTAATCGAATTCCTTAAAAAATGTAATTATTTCTTAAAAATTTTATTAAAATTCGTCGAAAAAATTCAATTGAAAATTTGTTGACAAAGTTTTTTTATAAGAATTCAATTTTCAGAAATTATATTTAATTTCAGTTAAAATTTTAAATAATAATTGAATACTCAAAAAAATTATAGCTTGAATTTTTAGAAATAATTGAATTTCGAAAAGGTTTCAAATTGAAATCTCGGAAAATTTAAATTTTTCATACTTTTAACTAAAAATTCTGTAGAATAAATTTTTTTGAAAAAATTTTATTGAATTTTGTTTAAAAATTATTTCATGTTATTTTAGTTTTTAAATATTTAATTGAAAGATTTCCGAATAATCAAAATTTCGTAAAATTGAATTCTAAACAAATGGATTTAGAAATTCTCAAGGATCTTTTGCAATAATTAGAATTTGATTTCTTTCGAAGAATTTTATTATTCATGAAAATAATTGAATTCTTGCAACGAATTTTATTAAAAATTTTCTTAAAGAATTGAATTCCTGTGAAGAATTTTATTTCTAAAAATAATTGAATTCCGGAGAAAAATATTATTTATTTATAAAAATAATTAATTTTTTTGTGAAGAATTTCATTCTTTTTTTAAATAATTGAATTTCTTAGAATTTTTAAAATCTTTTTGAAGATAATTAAATTCCATGCGTACATATCCCCTTATTGCACGTGAACCCTCAATTGAAATCTGACAAAGAATTTTATTAAATTTTTTTCTAAATAATTAAATTCCTGTGAAAAATTTTATTTTTGAAAAGAATTGAATTCTTGGTAAGAATTTTATTAAATTTTTTTAAAATAATTAAATTCTCGAGAAAAATTTTATTATATTTATGAAAATAATTGATTCCTTGCGAAGAATTTTATTCAAATTTTTTTAAATAATTGAATTCCCATAAAAAATTTGTTATTTATGAAAATAATTTAATTGTAGGTATAGGAAAATTTTATCAAAATTGCAATTTTATTAATTAAATCTTTTAAAGAATTTTGTCACAATTTTTTTTAAATACATTGAATTTTTAAAAGAATTTTATTTAAATTTTTCGAAATAATTGAATCTCTCAGAACTGTTTTTTTCAATTTTCTGAATATATTTGAATTCTTTCGAGAAACTTCATTAAAAAAATTTAAAAAATTGAATTAATGCGAAGAAAATTTAAAAAAAAAACTTTGTAAGGTAATTGAATTCCTGTGAAATTTTTATTAAAATTTTGTTTAAATAATTGAATTTGTTTGAAAAATTGAATTAAAATAGTAGATTTTGAAAATATTTGGATTTTAACGAAGAATTTCATTATATTTTTGAAATGTAATTGAATTCTTGCAAAAATTTTTGAAAATAATTACGTTTTTTGAGGAGTTTATTTAAAATTATATTAAAAATAATTGAAATCCTATGAAAAATTTTATTATTTATGAAAATAATGAATTCTTGCGAAAGATTTTATTAAAATTTTTGTATATAATTTTATTTTTTTTTTAAATTTTATGGAAATTTAAATTATTAGAAAACATGAAGATAACGATATAACTACGAGTCGAAGACTCGATATCTTTGTTAGGGATTTTTATTAAAAGTACTGGAAAAAATTAATTTTTTAGAAAAATAGTAAAAGAAATGAAAAATTTTGGAGAGAAAAAAAATTGTAAAGTAAAAATAGATTTCATATGATAAAAAATACTTCTTCTTTGTTTTTATTGAATAGAGCATAAATCTGGTCAATTTTACCTTGGAAATAGGGTATGAGCTTGCACATGGCGTTTCCGAAAACGAAGTTCTTGAGCATCTGGCCGAGGAGCGTGAATGGCATGCAAAAGACTCCAAGCAGTAGGTCCGACACTGCCTGTAACATAGTTACATGGAAATCACCTTGAATTCTCTTTCCTTTTCCTTTATTTAAAAAAAAAAAAAAAAAAAAAAAAAAAAACAACTTTATCATTCTTTTCTTATCACATAGCGTACCACATCTCAGGAATATCAAATATTCCATATAAGTGTGAATATAAACCACATTTCACAAACAAAAAAAAATCCTGAATTACACTAGGAAAAAGGAGGTCGAACGTTTCTCATTTACAAATTCATTTCATATTATATATTTTCAGCAATTTTCTCAAAATTGCAAAAAAATAGACAATGTTTACCACTTTCTTTTTTCTCTATCCTTCTTTTGCCCTCTGCCATTTTTGTATATTTCAAAACTTCCACCCACTTGGAAATCATACATGAATGTATATAATTAAAAAAAGAACGGAAAAAAAGTGTTGCACAATTAATTGGAAATTTTTTTGCGGTGACAAAAATTTTTCTTTTTATTTTCGTTTAAAAAAGGAAGAAGAAAAAATTCAATTAAATGTTGTTTATTACAATCTTGTTACAGTTTTTCATTTTACTTTTTACCATCACATCGCTTGAAAATTAAAAAAAAAAATTTTCTCTCTCAAGAATGTAACTGTGGAATATTTTTATTCGTTAATGAAAAAAAGCTGCGAAGTTGATAATATAAATTTTTTTTCTTTTATTAACACTTTGCTTTCTCTTGGAATTTTTAATTTTACTAATTTTTTAATAAGGATTATAAATTTTATTATTGACATTCAATATTGTAATTTAACAGTAAAAAATCATGTTTAAAATATTAAAAGACTTCATGTTTACTTTTTATTTATATAATTTATGGCTTCCAAAAGTATTGAATTTAAAAAAATTACAATTTTTATTATTACCTATTATTAATTAAAATTAAATCGGGAAACGTAGGAAATATAATATTTGTGTTAGTTCGACGTAACAATAACAAAAATAGCAATAATAATAATAATATTAATCATTTTAATGCAGAGGTAAATAAAAACAACCTATAATATAATGAAGAGAATAATAACCAAAACTTTTTATAGCAATAACAGTAAAAGTGATTTTAAAAGTAACAAGAAATTTCTCGACAAAATGAATAAAAAGAAAATAAAATGAAACTCCCTCACGAGTTTCTTAAAAGGAAAAAAAAGGAAGACAAAAAAAATAAAGACTTTTTTTAATACTTGCATTTTCTGAAATAAATTGTTTTGTCGGTTCTTCTTTTCTTTTTTTTTGTTACAAGAAAAAAAAAATTTTTTTTAAACTGATATCACAGGAGGGTTTGGGGAATGTCAGTAGCACGATGAGCGCAATCCAGGTAATGGGATATGAGAACGTGTTTCATTATTCACACGGGTAATTTAAGCTTGTGAAATTATTGGCCTTTTTTTCGTTCTATTTCAAACCCCGAAACAATTTTCAATTCCTTTTCGCAATCGAATACCATTTCAAATACTGACAATTTCAAATAAATATAATTATAATGTCTCTCTATCATTCTCTCCCTCTCTCTCTCTCTCTGTGTGTCCGAGTTTGTGACACTATCTTTGTCTATATAAATACAAATAAATAAATATTTATCGCTTCGAATAGCGTAATTAAAATTTAAATTTGCATTAAATGTTACGTGTTTAGCAATTTGCATTTTATTGCTTTCGAAATATCAAAGTGACTTTATTGAAATTTTTTTTTTTTTTGTTGTCAAAGAAGTGAACAATATGTGTGAGAATGCTCGATTTATGAAACATAGTTTTATATACATATATGAAGTTTAAGCTTCTTTTCACTTTTCCACTATGACTGTGAATACGCAGATATTGAAATTTTCCTTTTCCGGAAAAAAACTTCTTGATTAAAAAATAACATTTCGATTTAATTTTTCGATAAATTTTTTGTCGATTTTTGTATTTTTGCATTCATTTTTCAATGACAATATTTAGCGGCGAAGAGAAAATAATTACTTTTCTCTTTTAATTATTTTTTCATTAATTATAATTATTGAAAAAATAATTATTAAACATACGATATTATAATTATAATATTTGCCTAAAATATTATAATTTTTTTAAAAATTTAATTAAAAAATATATAATTTAAGTTCCGCTCGTAATAATTAGGAAATTGACATGATTTTTTTAGTGCATTAAAATAGTTTTCTATCTATTTTTATTTTACACTTTTTTTTATTTATTATTGTATCAATTCAATTTTATATACAGACACAAAACAAAATTGGCCCACCAGCGAAATATTCCATGGGAAATCTCCAATTTACATATTATATTTATACATATTTCGAGATGGAAGAATATTTCTATATTTCTGTGCGCGAAAATAATATTATTCGAATAAAATAAATATGAATACGATAAATAATAATGTTATTGTGAATTGGAAAGAAATTTTAAAACAAAACGAAATTGATCCTTTTTAAAAATGAAAGCTTAGGTGTAAATTTAAAAAACAAAACAAAAATTTGTAATTCTTTTTTATAAGTTACTAAAAATATTGCTATTAAAAATATTTATTAAAAGTAACATTAACATTAACATTAACATTACTATTAAAATATTTGTTTTCTATTTCTCTAAATTTCTAACATTAAATATAGAATTTTTTCAATATGAAAAAGAGTCATTTTTTATAATTGAAACGAAAGAAAAGAAAATCAAAGTTGCGCGAAAGTTTATTGGTCAGCGCGTGACCTTGAGATCCCCACTCTCAAAGAGAAGCCAATAGCGAGCGTCGGTGGGCGTGGCGCGACCCCCACTCCTTTCAAGCGACCAATCCGTCCGCGCCGTTTACGAATTATTAACAAATTACCGAGAAATCGCTTCCAAAACTTAGATAATACGAAAAATGATAATATTTTTGAATTTACTACTCGGTGAGTAGGTGTAAATTAAATAAAATAAAAGACAGAGTAAAAATTAAAAATAATTCTCTAAACAAATTACCAACCAGAAAATGAGGAAAACGTAATCCTAGAATTAAAAACAAATGGAACAGAAAGAAGGAAAGTAATTTAAAATATCAATTCATTTTTCAATAAGAAAGCAACTTTACGATATTGATTGCTAATCATAAAATTTAATTGAACTTCCCTCTGTGTAATCGGATTGACCCCATCAAAATTAGATTAAAATCTTGAATAAAGTCCAGTATGTAATTTCCTTTTTCTTCCTTGGACAAGAATATCATTAGCCTCCACTTCGTACTATTATATTTCTCCCATCAGATTTTCATAATAAAATTTCAATATAGATTCGCGAAAATAAAAATTATTAAAAACAACAACAATAATGGAAAAAAAATTTCTTTTTTTCGGGGATTAATTTAAGGGGCAAAAAAAATTCCCTCTCTGTGATTGAGTTCAATCAAGGGTTGCATAGGAAAAAATAAAATAAAAACAAAAAAAATGTGACGCACAAATCGACGGAATAAAAAAAAATTGTCAACTTGTCTCCAAGTGATTTCTTTTAAATCTACCATTCTATTCTACTGCAATCACCGAAATTCACATGACAAATAAAGTGAAACCCTTTCAACTTCAATTTCACTTCTATTATATTGATTGGATAGTAGTTATTAAATGCTTTCGTTAAAAGCAACTGAACGTTGTTTCAATTTTCAAAAGAAGATGAAATCTCTCCGTTCTCTGTGTTAAAAATATAATAATAAAAAAAAGAAGCAATGTATATATCATTCCGATTGGCAGAAGATAAATGAATTTGTTCGCGCAGCTATAACTTTTCTCTCTCTCTCTTTTTTCATCCCTCGAATGCTAAAATTGTCCCCAAGAAATGTCAAACTTAAAACGATATACAATAAATCAATTTCTTTTTTATACTTACGAATTTTTAATTTTGAAAAAGGATAAAAAGCAATTTTTTGTGTTGACTTTCCAAAAAAAAATTTCAAATTTTATTTTTTCATTCAAGTCACCAAGGTCGTGAATTCCAAATTACTTTGGATTATTATGAGTTTCTATAAAAGAAAAAGATCATATCTTTAGTCAAAAACGAAGTTTTGAGTCTTTGTTGAAAAAAGATAATAAAATTTCCACTAGTAAAAACAATAGAAGAAAGAAATTCCAGAGGCAATGAGGGAAGTACAATAAAGGAAGGAACGAGACAAAAGGAGAACTAACGCAGTGGTAGAAAGAAGAAAGTTTTCCGATCGAAAATTGAATTCCGGAAGAAAGCGACAGTGACTCAATAATACCTTCTTAATTTCAAGATAAGAATATCTTTACGAAATAAGAGGGGATGAAAAAGGTTGACCTCATTTCTGCCAAAAAAAAAAAAATAGCACTTGAATTTGGTGTCAGATTTTTAAAATTCAAAATGGCTGATCCAATCTAGTCTGCAGAAAGTTCCAATCTAGTTTCCGTCTAGCCTGAAAGAAATCCCAATCCAGTTATAGTCTAGTTTCAAGAAAGTTCCAGTCTAGTTTCAGTCTATTTGAAGTGGTTTCAATCTAATACCAGTCTACTCTGCAGAATGTTCCAATCTAGTTTCCATCTAGTCTGAAGGAAGTTCCAATCCAGTTCTAGTCTACTTTCCAAGAAAGTTCCAGTTCAGTTGAAGGAACCTATAAAATATTTGGACCCAGTTTTCAATTCTACAGTTTCCACTAAAGTCATTTTGATGGAAGCAATCTTATTTCTGTGTAATATCTCCTTAAAATTTATTGACAGTTTGTTGCTACTTACAGTTTGGACAAATTGACATAAAATCGTTTCTCTCGATATTTCTTCCTCCTTTCAAAATAAATACCACAAGAATGTCTTTATTTACCTAATTTGCATATCTACTCTTTTCAAACAAGGACAAGGACAGCTGACAAGACCCGTTTGTCGGCTATCAATATTTGCTCCTGAAAAAAAAAATATAGAGTCGAATCTAATAATAAAAATGTACGGTTAGATATCAATTTTGAATTTTGTACCCTGGAAATGTAATTTAAATTGTGAAAGGAATGTGT